ATGAAGATGCCCTCCAGGATTTCTGTGTCCGCGACAAAAACAGCAACACCATCGTCAATGGATTCACTTGCAAGCCTGCTGCGGCAACTCTAGCCAGTGATTTCATGTTCCATGGACTCCGGAACCCCGGGAACACCAACAACAAGCTCGGATCCATAGTCACCAATGCAAATGTTGGCGTATTCCCGGGAATCAACACTCTTGGCGTCTCTTTTGCGAGGATTGATTATGCTCCATACGGTGTCAATCCCCCTCACGTCCACCCACGAGGAACCGAGCTCCTCTTCCTCCAGCAAGGAACTCTCTATGTTGGATTCGTGAGCACCACCAACAACACACTCTTCGCTCAAACTTTGCATCCAGGAGATCTCTTTGTGTTTCCGCGTGGTCTCATTCACTTCCAGCTCAACGTTGGGAAGACACCGGCTGTTGCTCTTGCAGGATTCAACTCCCAGAATCCCGGTGTCACTCAGGTAGCCAAAGCCGTGTTTGCATCCAATCCTCCCATTTATGACGCTGTCATCGAGAGGGCGTTCCAGATCAATCCCAAGCTCATCCAGCAGCTCAGGGACCTCATCAAGCAAACTTAATCAATTTGCTTTTGTAATGATTCTTCTGTAATTTTCAAGAATAAGATTGAATAAAGAACTGTTCTTTACAAGCGGACCCGTACAACGAGCCAGCAACAGGTTTAAATTATTTAATTGTTATTTTAAATATTTAAAATAAAACAGTAATGCCTGCACTGTGCTGAAACTAAATTTTAGGGCTCGTGTAGTGCTAGGGCTAAGGGCTCCATGACAATGCCGGGGAATCCCAGCGCCATGGCAGAGATCTTACCTCACGAGTGTATTATCCACGACATTATATTAGCATTAAAGAATTTCTCACGTTAATTATTACTATTTTTTGTATTAGTTTTGAATATTTTAATTTTGAGAATTGGTTTCTATGGTTCTTTCATTCTTGGTAATGGTTTGAGACCACGACCCGATCAAATTGAAACAATCCACACTATGGTTTTGATCAAGTCAGTGAAATTGGCGTGTTATCCTTCTTGTCCCCTTCAATCTTTATTCTTGACCAAGTCAGATCTAGAGTGCTTGACAATGCCAGTCAGTGACAACTACTATATAAACTCAACCAAACTCCACATTTCACCTCATTCCATTCTTCGTCAATCGAGTAGCATCACAGCAAAAAATATCAAAAGCTTTGATCAATCAGCTGAACTCTTACTGCCAAGATACAAGATGTCTTACAAGTTAGCCATTTGTCTAGTTGCCATTTGTGCCATTTCTTTCGTCCATGGTTCAGATGAAGATGCCCTCCAGGATTTCTGTGTCCGCGACAAAGACAGCAACACCATCGTCAATGGATTCACTTGCAAGCCTGCTGCGGCCACTCTAGCCAGTGATTTCATGTTCCAGGGACTCAGGAACCCCGGGAACACCAACAACAAGCTCGGATCCATAGTCACCAATGCAAATGTTGGCGTATTCCCGGGAATCAACACTCTTGGAGTCTCTTTTGCGAGGATTGATTATGCTCCATACGGTGTCAATCCCCCTCACGTCCACCCCCGAGGAACCGAGCTCCTCTTCCTCCAGCAAGGAACACTCTATGTTGGATTCGTGAGCACCACCAACAACACACTCTTCGCTCAAACTTTGCATCCAGGGGATCTCTTTGTGTTTCCGCGTGGTCTCATTCACTTCCAGCTCAACGTTGGGGAGACACCGGCTGTTGCTCTTGCGGGATTCAACTCCCAGAATCCGGGTGTCACCCAGGTAGCCAAAGCAGTGTTTGCATCCAATCCTCCCATTTATGACGCTGTCATCGAGAGGGCGTTCCAGATCAATCCCAAGCTCATCCAGCAGCTCAGGGACCTCATCAAGCAAACTTAATCAGCTTGTTCTCGCATTAATTCTTTCATAAATTCCAATAATATTCAAATTTTGCCTGGCTTACCAAAAAGCAAGAAAGTTTTTGTCACGCTGCAAATATTACGACAATATCACGAGGCTTGTTAGTTCCTTCATGGCTTGACCAAACTGAAACAATCCACACTCTGGTTTTGATCAAGCTAGTGAAATTAACATGTTTATCCTCGTTCAATCTTGATTCTTAGTAAAATGACCAAGCAAGATCTGGTGTGCTCAAGGAAGGGGGCATGATGCTAATCCCCTCGAATGGCACGTAAGGCCCGCCAGCAAACACCGGAGTTCCATAGCCAAAGTCGAGCTCGTAGATTGGAAGCTGGGCCCAGCTCGTCACGCTCAAGTTTGGGCTCAGCACCGTTTTGCCACTCCTCGCGATCTGGACGGGGTTCTTCTGCTGGAGCTCCACGAAGTCCATCTGGGAGCGGATGTACCCGTTGTCAAGCCGCTTGATGGAACCCTGGATGAGATCCGTGGCGTAGGATGCTGGTTTCTCCAGGAGATCCTTCGCGGTGCTGTGGCTGCTGGCGTGGGAGATGACGTTGCCGAAGTAGTCGTCGGGGATGGGAGGAACGAGCCTCTTGTTGGTCGCGATCAAAACTCGGGTTTGGACTTCACCATCGATGCCATGGGCGCGAGTGATGCACTTCCAGAGATGACTCGTGAGGCTGACGAACGTAGAGGATCCTCGGGCATCGCCTTCTTTCGTCGCCGACTGCTTGATCCTCTTGAGGAGATCGATGCTGAAGTGGAGCTTCTATACCGAGAGTGGGGGATTCTCGGGCTGAGGAGCGTCCGGCTTGGGCGGAGGACGCTTGTACTCTGGATGCTCGAACTTTGGCTGCGGTGGATGGTTGGCCATGAGAAAAGATTGGAGGAACGATTGGAGTCTTCTTGACAATGCTGGCCCAGGCATTCATGAAAGCGCTGGCACCTTCTCCATCCGCGACTTGGTGCTTCCTTGCCACTCCCACAGTGATTCCACCTCAAGTGAATTTGGTTACCTGGAAAAAAGAAAACTCTGAAAACATCCTTTTGGTGGAAACAAAGAAGCTTGCAAATGAAGGAACGAAAGCAATCAATGTAGCCCACCAAGAAGAAGGAAAGAAGACATCTAGCCTCAGAGCGATGCATGTGACAGTGATTCAATTTCCCAGCGATGGCTGCTTGGATTCTGCTCAAAACCTCCACGTCAAGGGTCTTCGAGCTTGACTACTCTACAAGGGCGTGTTAAAGCGTCAACACCATCTTGACTCATGGTCGCGTTCTCCCTTGTTCGTCCTCCTCGAGGAATGCAAGAGAGAATAGAGTTGGTAAATCTCTGTGTAGAGAGAAAGAGATGGAAGAGAATGCTGCCGTACTGCTTCTTCGCCTTGCAAACAATTTCCTTCTATTCATCTCTGGTGGAGTGTGACATCTTCAACGAAGCCAACGTTTTAGTTAAGGACTAATTCTTGGTCCATGTCTTCTTGGTTCTTTCCTTTTGATGGATTGAATGTAGCATACCTTCAGTTCTTTTGATAACGGCTTGACCACCACCGGATCAACCTGAATAATGATTTCGTCACCTTGAACCGGTGAAATTAACGTGTTCTCCATTGTCTCAGTAAAATGACCAAGTCAGATCTGGAGTGCTCACAACTCCTATATAAACTCCAGCGACCTCCACACTTCTCCCCACTCCATTCTTTATCAATTCAGTAGCATCACAACAAAAAATCTGTGTGAAGATACAAGATGTCTTACAAGTTAGCCATTTGTCTAGTTGCCATTTGTGCCATTGCTTTCGTCCATGGATCAGATGAAGATGCCCTCCAGGATTTCTGTGTCCGCGACGGAAACAGCAACACCATCGTCAATGGATTCACTTGCAAACCTGCTGCGGCCACTCTAGCCAGTGATTTCATGTTCCAGGGACTCAGGAACCCCGGGAACACCAACAACAAGCTCGGATCCATAGTCACCAATGCAAATGTTGGCGTATTCCCGGGAATCAACACTCTTGGAGTCTCTTTTGCGAGGATTGATTATGCTCCATACGGTGTCAATCCCCCTCACGTCCACCCCCGAGGAACCGAGCTCCTCTTCCTCCAGCAAGGAACACTCTATGTTGGATTCGTGAGCACCACCAACAACACACTCTTCGCTCAAACTTTGCATCCAGGGGATCTCTTTGTGTTTCCGCGTGGTCTCATTCACTTCCAGCTCAACGTTGGGAAGACACCGGCTGTTGCTCTTGCGGGATTCAACTCCCAGAATCCCGGTGTCACCCAGGTAGCCAAAGCCGTGTTTGCATCAAATCCTCCCATTTATGACGCTGTCATCGAGAGGGCGTTCCAGATCAATCGCAAGCTCATCCAGCAGCTCAGGGACCTCATCAAGCAAACTTAATCAATTTGCTTTTGCAATGATTCTTCTGTAATTTTCAAGAATAAGATTGAATAAAGAACTTTACCTTTCAACTGTTTAAAATAATTAAAATACCAATTAAATAAGTTAAGCCTGAAATATTTGTACGGCTGCTTTGTAAATAACTGCCTTCACTGTCTGCTGAAGCGGGAAAACTTAAATTTTAGGGCTCGTGTGGTGGCTCCATGACAATGCCGGGGGATCCCAGCGCCATGGCAGCGATCTTGAGGTAGGGCATTTCTCGCGTCCAGAGGCCAATGCGAATTCATATTCGTGCTACCAGCAAAATCTCAAGAAATTTATGGTGTAATATCACCACATTATATTAGCATTATAGAATTTCTCTCGTTAATTATTACTATTTTTTGGATTTGTTTTGAATATTTTAATTTTGAGAATTGGTTTGGTTCCTTCATTTTTGGTAATGGTTTGAGACCACGACCCGATCAAACTGATACAATCCACACTATGGTTTTGATCAAGTCAGTGAAATTAGCGTGTTATCCTTCTTTGTCCTCTTCAATCTTTATTCTTGACCAAGTCAGATCTGGAGTGCTTGACACTGCCAGTCAGTGACAACTACTATATAAACTCAACCAAACTCCACATTTCACCTCATTCCATTCTTCGTCAATCGAGTAGCATCACAGCAAAAAATATCAAAAGCTTTGATCAATCAGCTGAACTCTTACTGCCAAGATACAAGATGTCTTACAAGTTAGCCATTTGTCTAGTTGCCATTTGTGCCATTTCTTTCGTCCATGGTTCAGATGAAGATGCCCTCCAGGATTTCTGTGTCCGCGACAAAGACAGCAACACCATCGTCAATGGATTCACTTGCAAGCCTGCTGCGGCCACTCTAGCCAGTGATTTCATGTTCCAGGGACTCAGGAACCCCGGGAACACCAACAACAAGCTCGGATCCATAGTCACCAATGCAAATGTTGGCGTATTCCCGGGAATCAACACTCTTGGAGTCTCTTTTGCGAGGATTGATTATGCTCCATACGGTGTCAATCCCCCTCACGTCCACCCCCGAGGAACCGAGCTCCTCTTCCTCCAGCAAGGAACACTCTATGTTGGATTCGTGAGCACCACCAACAACACACTCTTCGCTCAAACTTTGCATCCAGGGGATCTCTTTGTGTTTCCGCGTGGTCTCATTCACTTCCAGCTCAACGTTGGGGAGACACCGGCTGTTGCTCTTGCGGGATTCAACTCCCAGAATCCGGGTGTCACCCAGGTAGCCAAAGCCGTGTTTGCATCCAATCCTCCCATTTATGACGCTGTCATCGAGAGGGCGTTCCAGATCAATCCCAAGCTCATCCAGCAGCTCAGGGACCTCATCAAGCAAACTTAATCAGCTTGTTCTCGCATTAATTCTTTCATAAATTTCAGTAATAGTCAAACTTTGCCTGGCTTACCAAAAACTTGTCACACTGCAAATATTACCACAATATCACGATAAAAGGGTCAGTGTAAAGGCTTGTACGACCCGGACAAACTGAAACAATCCACACTATGGTTTTGATCAAGCCAGTGAAATTAACGTGTTTATCCTCGTTCAATCTTGATTCTTAGTAAATGACAGTGTGCTCTCACCATATAAACTCCAGTATAGATTCTCACTCCATTCTGGAACTCATGAAAGCTTTTCTAGATAAGAGCCAATCGATTCATTCAAGCTCCGGTCAAGGACTTGCGATGGATTCCACTTGCTATACATCGAAGCAAATGTCCTGGAGCTTGGCCATATCTGGTTCAAACAGGCCGATGATCACGTCGATGCTTCCATCCCTGGTGTAGGAAGGGAGCATGATGCTAATCCCCTCGAATGGCACGTAAGGCCCGCCAGCAAACACCGGAGTTCCATAGCCAAAGTCGAGCTCGTAGATTGGAAGCTGCACCCAGCTCGTCACGCTCAAGTTTGGGCTCAGCACAGTCTTGCCACTCCTCGCGATCTGGACGGGGTTCTTCTGCTGGAGCTCCACGCAGTCCATCTGGGAGCGGATGTACTCGTTGTCAAGCCGCTTGATGGAAGCCTGGATGAGATCCGTGGCGTAGGATGCTGGTTTCTCCAGGAGATCCTTCGCGGTGCTGTGGCTGCTGGCGTGGGAGATGACGTTGCCGAAGTAGTCGTCGGGGATGGGAGGGACGAGCCTCTTTCGCCCGTTGGCCGCGATCAAAACTCGGGTTTGGACTTCACCATCGATGCCACGGGCCCGAGTGATGCACTTCCAGAGATGGCTCGTGAGGCTGACGAACGTAGAGGGTCCTCGGGCATCGCCTTCTGTCGTCGCCGACTGCTTGATCTTCTTGAGGAGATCGATGCTGAAGTGGAGCTTCTTTACCGAGAGTGGGGGATACTCGGGCTGAGTAGCGTCCGCCTTGGGCGGAGGACGCTTGTACTCTGGATGCTCGAACTTTGGCTGCGGTGGATCGTTGGCCATGAGGAAAGACCTGTCGTGCTTTGGAGGAACGATTGGAGTCTTCTTGACAATGCTGGCCCAGGCATTCATGAAAGCGCTGGCACCTTCTCCATCCGCGACTTGGTGCTGCCTTGCCACTCCCACAGTGATTCCACCACAAGTGAATTTGGTTACCTGGAACAAAGAAAACTCTCAAGACACCCTTTCGTGGAAACAAAGGAGCTTGCAAGCGAAGGAACGAAAGCAATCAATGTAGCCAACCAAGAAGAAGGAAAGAAGACATCTAGCCAGAAACTGGAGACCAAGAAAAACGAGAGAGAAGCTCATACCTGGATGAGGAGGAGCTCGGGAACACCTCTGTTAACAGGCACCAGATCCAGCAGCAGTGGACTGGGATTGAAAGGCATGACACTTTCAAGCTCGCCATCGATCTCTGCCTCGATGAAGACCACACCCTCATCGTTTAGATCAATCACAGCCCGCCCATTCTCATCCTTGCCCAGCCGCCCCGCCCATTCCCTGTAATCCGAGAGAACCTTGGCCAGTCCCTCCTCGAGATCCGCCACTGGAGGAGCCGGAGCCTTGAACGCGTAGATAATCTCCACATGGACGCGAGGAACCACCAGATCCGAGCTGCTCAGTGGGATGAATGCCGGTAGCGACGCCGCCGCTGGAGCCGAGGGCTTGATGATCCGGGCCTCGCCACGCGTTACCTTCATCCTGTGCAGCTCGATCGACCTGGCTATGGCGCCCTACTGGATTGTATCGATCAAACCCTTCCCACGAGAATCGTGCCGAGCGCGACCTAAATCCCTGGCGAGGGAGAAGTGGAGTTCATTGCTGGAATTTATAAAGGCGCATTGACTGGTTGGCTGATAAGTAGGTGTGCTGACCATTCTTGACCAAAGAACGTTCAAAAGTATGACATGGAATGCCATGCTGGCAGTCAACTTAATCTTGACTCTTGGAACACCATGTATTTTAGGGTTCTTTTCCATGGCCGCGGCGCTGCTGCGCTGCCTTCCGCACGCTCTAGCAATGCTCGCTTCCAATTTCATCCACTATCGATCGCTGTGGGCGGCGCAAGAGACGGCGGCGAGGCGCGTCCACGCTCGCAAGCGCCTGCTCGTGGATGCCTACAAGCAAGAACACGTCCCTCTCACATTCGATCTCATGGGAAGCCCAGAGATGCGACGAGCCAGGTACACAATCAAGCTCCTCCGCTACCTCATCACGCTCGCGCACATCATCGCCTTCTATCCTCTCATCGAAGAGCTTCACTTGGAGCAGTTCACGGTCGCCTGGGCAGTGCTTGCCCAGGCAGTGATCGCTGGATTGTTGGCGGGGCTCGTGACCATCTACCTGGACGAGAATCGGCACCAGGAGATGAGAACCGCCTGGAATCCTGCCCAGGATTTTGGCTCCAAGAAAGTGGGAGCTGCGTGGGATTGTCTGCGAGTAGCTGGCGGCTGCCTCGCGGTCCCGATCGAAGAGGAGCTCTTTTATCACTCTTGGCTCTACCGATTCATGCTCGCCAAGCTCTCGCGCGACCGATCGCGGGGCTTTGAGGCGGTGGGGCTGAGGACTTGGAACTGGCTGCTGTGTGTAGCGAGCAATGGATTCTTCGCAGTCCACAACGGGATGGAATGGCGGAGTTGCTTGCTCGCTGGCTGCCTGTTCCAGTGGATCATCGCTTACCGGGGCCAATTCCTCGATGGTCTCATTGCGCATGTTGTTTGCAACATCACCATCAGCTGCTGGGTGCTCGTCTCTGGCCAGCGCCACTTCTGGTAGTAGCCAATCTAAGATCGACCAAGATATCATTCATCGAACCACATAACATCAAGCTCCAAGAACATTGATCGATCTATAAGTATCATCGCTCCAAGTATATCATCAAGCTCCAGGAACAAAAGTAAGCTGACTTTTTTTTATATATATCATTCTGAGGTTTTTGTCTCACCAGACTGAAGCAGATTCGAGCACCAAGGGCTTCTCGCAAAGTTTTAAAGCAATGCGTTTGAAAGGCATTTGCTGCAAACACGAGATCCTTGTATGTAACTTATTGATCTTAAGCTGATAGCTGATTTTGGAACCTCGGCTTTGAAGGATCTCGAGAGTATCACTGAAAGACACTACTTTATAGCCCCCACCGGGCATACACGCCCTTTAGAGTAAGTAGTGGCTTATGATCCAGCATATACATCAAGCTCGAAGAACCTCAGCATGCAAGGTTCTGAGCACCACGGGATCGTAGCTGAAAGACACGCTGAGCTTGAAAACCTCCACCAAGCTGATCGTTGGGAACTTGGATCACCATCACAACCTTGAAATGTCTTCAGGTAGCTCACAGCTTGGAAGAAATACTTCTCATCACTTGCTGCGTTTTTCAGCTGGAGCGCCTCCCATGTTCGTATCTCCACAACGTCGGGCTGGTAGATCCGGTAAGAGTGCACAACCGAGCTGAGCTCGTACAATCCAGAGATGCTGACCTCTCTCTGCCACCGCTGCACACGCTCACTCCGATCGACGACTAAGGCGTGGCGATAGGCTTTGGTTGCCAATGATGGCGATCCCATTGGTCGTCCACTGGATTGTATACCTCGGCGTCCAATCCCCCTCACACGGTTCTACGTAGAGCCAACCAAGTACATTTGAGGACACAGCATTGGCCCCAGGGCGTTCCATCTGTGCATCAAAGATGCTCACCGATTTCCGGCAGCTCCATCCCCCGAGAAGATAAAGCTTGCTTGCCGAGAGCTCTGCAGTGCCGTGGATGTGCGGTGGAGGAGGAAGAATCATTCCACGCTTTCATGGAGGGGTGTGACTAGAGTGAAGAGGTTGACCGATCTGCTGTGCCTGTCCGATTGGGTGTCTCGACTTGTGAGGCCTCCACGCTCGCGCATTTGGTCAGTGGTATTTGATGGTCTTTCGACAAGAAAATTTTGATTAGGTATTATTGAAATTTATACGCAAGAACAAACTGACTAAGTTTGCTTGATGAGATCCCTGAGCTGCTGAATGAGCTTGGGATTGATCTGGAACGCCCTCTCGATGACCGCGTCATAAATGGGAGGGTTTGATGCAAACACGGCTTTGGCTACCTGGGTGACACCGGGATTCTGGGAGTTGAATCCCGCAAGAGCAACAGCCGGTGTCTTCCCAACGTTGAGCTGGAAGTGAATGAGACCACGCGGAAACACAAAGAGATCTCCTGGATGCAAAGTTTGAGCGAAGAGTGTGTTGTTGGTGGTGCTCACGAATCCAACATAGAGAGTTCCTTGCTGGAGGAAGAGGAGCTCGGTTCCTCGGGGGTGGACGTGAGGGGGATTGACACCGTATGGAGCATAATCAATCCTCGCAAAAGAGACGCCAAGAGTGTTGATTCCCGGGAATACGCCAACATTTGCATTGGTGACTATGGATCCGAGCTTGTTGTTGGTGTTCCCGGGGTTCCTGAGTCCCTGGAACATGAAATCACTGGCTAGAGTGGCCGCAGCAGGCTTGCAAGTGAATCCATTGACGATGGTGTTGCTGTTTTTGTCGCGGACACAGAAATCCTGGAGGGCATCTTCATCTGAACCATGGACGAAAGAAATGGCACAAATGGCAACTAGACAAATGGCTAACTTGTAAGACATCTTGTATCTTCACACAGATTCTGTGTTGTGATGCTACTTAATTGATGAAGAATTGAGTGAGGAGAAATGTGGAGGTCGCTGGACTTTATATACTACTCCAGATCTGACTTGGTCATTTTACTGGAACAGAGAACACGTTAATCAGACTTGATCAGATGTTACATTCTATTTATCTTCCGAGGAAAGAACCAAGAAGAAGTGGACCAAGAACTGTTCCTTGAAAACTGAGAGATGGGTGTCGGCGGTTTTGGGACAACACGGCATGCCGTTCGCAGACACAAAAAAGGAGTTTGCGAACGTTGTAAGGATTGGTTTGGGAGGGGCATTCATACACACGCTGTCCATTTGACAGCTGTGAGGCCCAACAAGTTGAACAACAAGTCACAGCCGTGAGAGTTTTTGATTCGTCCTAAATAGGGAAATGGTAGCGCCATGTGTCACTCAAGGACTTTCCGCCGGCTCCAGATCAGGTGAGTGATCAAGCCTCTATTGTTTCTGTGATCTTTTTCCTGCAGGCCCCAGGAATTATAAAAGAAGGCCTGAGCTTAGCTTGTGACTCACTGTGTGGATTTTGCTCTGTTTTGATTCAAGCACGCTGATCAATGGAGCCTGCAAAGTGGGAAGAAAAAGAAGAACAGTGTCCAGCATACACGCTCACGAAAAAGATAAGGGCGAGGAGAGCGGAAAATGCGTACAGGAAATCCAACATCTCCTCTCGAGACTGGGATGAGGACTAAACTCGAATTGATCAATGGACAGACCGAGATCAAGCATCCATTTTCTTAGCACGATATTCGGCTGCACAGGTGTACGGAAAAATCTGTACTGTGCTGCATCGTTTCTTCCGGCGAGTCGAGTGTCCCATGGCCAAATGCGCCGGACGGTGTTGCTCAGGCATGGAAACCAAGGTGGTGGCGGTTTAAGCTCAGCGTGCCTTTCAGCGATGATCTCAGAACCTGGTTATTCGAGCTTGATGTATATGGGAAGAGCACCATGGGACATCAGGTAGCGGGGTGAACTGGGAAAAGTACTCGCTTGAAGGCCAAATAATTAGAGTCTATTGTCAGCGATTTGTAAGCTTCTTGCAGAAGACCACAGTAAGTGGACGGCTGGAATGCCCGATCTTCTGCTGTGGAAGGAGCAGCTGGCCGAAGTCAAGGGTCGCTTGTCCGAGCAACAGGTGGCCTGGTTTCTTATTCTCTCGGACGCTAATTTTCCAATGGAACTTTGCAAGGTCTCACATGTGGTGTCACTTGTGGACATTAACTTCTTTTGAACACTTCTTTGACTTGTATGTGAATTCTTTCCTTCAGGCTTTGAACTTCTGAGGTCAAGACATGACAACGAGAAGCTTCTACAGAAGGCCCTTTTGCAACACCAACCAAGAATCGAACCACGTCCGCTTCAAGCTCCTGGTTTGCATGAGTTACCTTTCCAAGATGCTTTTAGACAGGGATAGTGATAGAGACGAGGAGAAGGTTGCAACCCCGCGGCAGAGCAGATACCAGGCTTACATTTATGACTTCAATTCCATCATAACAGGCTGCGTCCAGCCTCCGGACAGTGATCAAGAACAGCCCGACCAGGAAGTATTTAGCGTGCTCAACTAGTGCGCCAGAGAGAGCAGTAGCCACCAGCAACTCGGCACAGGTTTACTTTATGGGCCATGACTTCCACACTTGTCGGTCGTGCAGCCGGGCCTTGAACTCGCCAACGGTCGAGCCTTACTCAAGAACCACCGCGTCCTGCTCTCGACCATTTCCAGCTCCGAGTCGATGCAGTGCGCGGGCATCGCCACCGCGAAAGCCATCGACCAGCAAGCACAATCCAAGAAAGGAATGGGAGCTCTAAACCTCCCTCTCGTAAAATATTTTGTAGTACGAGTCCATGAACAACTGCTGCTCCTCGAGATGTTCTTCTAGCGGCATGACTGTAACTTTCAATACTATAATTAATGGCTGTTATAACTAAACACGGTATGCTACAAAACATTAAAGCTGTGGCTGCTAAGTTTATGAGAACTTGGATCAATTACGCTGGTTTTATATCAAAGTCGTTAGTGCCACCCGTGAACATATTGACTACGAATGCCATGAACTCCCTAAGAAGTTTCTTACTTATTTCGAAATATTATGGATCTTTAGTTTAAGCACAACCAAGGTTTTCACCTGGTGAAACACCCAACTGTGAGCAGAAGTCCCTGTAATAAGTGATACGGCTTTGTGCTGGTTCTGTCTCACTGCCCCTGCCACACTCTAGCGCTCCATTGATGGCTCGAATTGTAGCTCCAAATCCTTGATTCTGTGTTATTGCGGTGTGGCAATTCGAGTTTTGCATCCAAAACCACACTGATGACCTCCATGCAAGTAAGCCATTCTGAGCAACTTGGTCTGGGTTCTGGAGGAGGTTCATATTGAAAGCCCTTCCCGCGGCATCATAGTTGTAATTCCTGCAGATGAAATTTTGGATTTGTACTGCATACGTTTTCAATTTCTAACTTACCAAGTGAGCTGCAGAGGACCTCTTCCATAGTAAGCCATAGTGCCTGCCGGACATGAAACTCCACCAGTAGTGTCACAATAGACGTTGTTTTGGTTGATCTCTCGAATGAATTGCAGTGCTACAATCAAGTAGAAAAACTTCAAGACATTAGTGAGAAATGGATTTTGCTATGTAAAATTACTTCCAGTCTCGTGCTTCACATGTGCAAAGTACGCAGCCAGTTCCCTCCTTTGAACATCAAGACTCCCTGTGCTTCCAAAAGGAGGAAAGCCATTTGCTGCAGCAATGAAATCACTATAGGTATAGAAAGGATTGGCAACGTTGGATGGGAAGAACTGCCTAAACACAGACTCGGTTATGATGCTAGATGGGTTTGCTAGTGTGGGGGAGGGAGATCCAATGCAAAGTATAAAAGATATGATGATTGCTGCAAATGCCATGGGTGCTAAAGTTTATGAGAACTTGAATGAATTTGGGTTGGTTTTATACTCTTGAAGCCACCCGTGAACATATTGACTAAAATGCCGTGTTGATGGAAACTTCCTAAGATGGAAGGTGTCTTTTATTGACTTTTCAAAATACTTTTGATTGAGGTTATGATCTTCGGTGTAAAGGTATAATATCTAAAGTTTTAACAGTTTCACAATACGTTTTTATATCTAGAAATAAAATACCAATTTATACAGTTATCAATCTTAGTAAATAGAAATTAAATTTTATTTTAATTAACAAATTTGTAAAAAGAAATTTCTTGCATGATTTTTAGCTAGAGTAAGCTTGGACATTCTAAGATATTTTATCATCTAATGGTTGTTAGTTATTTATATTAATATTATATTTATAGTTTATAAATATATTATAATATCTTTATATTTACTAAGAAAGTATATTCATCACTATTGGCAATGACATAAATCAAAATTTAAACTCAAGACCTATTATATACATATATGGGATTATCATGAATCTATACTAAAATTAAGTTTCTAGATTAGGGGCTAGAACCCTTATTTTTTCTATTATACACATATATGGAATTATCACGAATTTATACTAAAATTAAATTTCTATATTAGCTAGAGGTTGGATTAGAGCCTTTATAAAAATAAAGTTTTGATAACTTTGTAGTAGAGTGTTTAACATAATTTTATCTTGTCTTTTCCATTTTTTAATATCTTATTAATAGTTTAATCATCTCCTTTCTCTCAATGGCAATTTTTTAACAGTTTAAACATTTTGAAATAAATGATTTTCTCACATTTGCTTTAATTAAATCAAAATATTTTATAGAAGTTATACTAAGCATTAGAAGCAATTCAATACTACACTTATTTTGCAGCTCTACTAAATTATCAACACCAATTAATTTAAAACCAAAATTTGATATGCCAATAAAATTTGATGGCACATGGTCCAAATTTCATAATTTTAGTCAAATTTCAAACTACCATGCAACCTAATTGATATTCTATAACATAAAATAATTTTTTATTTTCTATTATTTTAATATTTTATTAATATTTTCATTGTTTTGACATAGAATTATTCAAATAGTTCATTGTGAAGTATAAATTTAGAACTCTCACCAAATTTCATATGATTATCGAAAAATATTATTTATCTTTATGTCTAAATAAATACTTATCTGGCTTCATATCAACTTATTTTCTAGCAAAAATTTTAGAATTATTAATTGAATCACACATTAATCAATTGGATTAATAAATAATACTAAATATGAATAGCACTAGATACATTTATAAATCAATTATATGTTATAAATACAGTTTAGTATCTTTTTGTTCCACCATTTACAATCATAATAAATTCTGTAAAAATATAAATAAAAAAGTAAAAAGATAGATTACTCACAGTTTCATTCAGAACTTTCCTAGCCATCCCTTGACAATGTCAAATAAATTCAAATAGCTTATTTACCTCTCTCTTATCGTCAATGTCCCTTTTAGGAGTACAAAAGATTATTTTCTTACCATCAAGCCGTGAGGACCTTCTCCTTGTCCTTGCTGCTTTGCTTGGAGAAGGCGGTGGTACACTGCGCCATGACTTTGGAAGCTCTGGAGATGGAGTCCGTCATGTAGAAGTTGTCAATGGACCTGGCAAACGGCTTGAGCTGGATTTCCGTCTTGGTCTCGGGAAGAATGTCTCGCGGCCACATCACCGGCGCCTGGAGCTCGTCCACTCGGAAGAGATTTGGCGATACTGCCAACATCCGAGCTCGCAAGCTGCTGATGGTATCGTAAGGTAGCGCGGAGCCGGCTACCTCGGATAGAGCTCTGATGATCTTCCAGTCGTCGCGAGATTCCCCGACTGTTGGAACCGCTGGAATCGTCTGCTGAGTTCTCCCTTCCGTGTTGACGTAAGTCGATTCCTTCTCGCTGTAAGCGCAGCCAGGGAGTACAACGTCGGCTCGGTAGACGCTGCGATCACCATGGTGCCCCTGATAGACCACGAAACAATCCTTCGGGATCTCTGCCATGTCGACTTCGTCCGCGTCGAGGAGATACAAGAACTTGATCCCCTTGAGGCTGCCTTTGGACTTCGGTACCAGTCCCAAGTCGAGTGCTGCTGCGTGGCTGGCGTTGAGAAGGAGTACGTTGAAGCCATTCCACCCTTCCTTGACGATGTTTCCATTGGCTGCTATTGTTTCCACCGCGGCCATGATACCATCTCGGTCCGGACGCTCGAAAATCCCTGCGCCGACTATGATTGCCGGCCTCTGAGCTCCTGCTAGAGCCGTGCAAAAGCGGTGGCGGCCCTCGGCAATCTGGAGGAGTGTCTCCGGTCCAGTTCCAAGGTTCTCGTGCTCGTATGCTAGATCGGTAGGCGGGCCTATGACGCCAACTTTGGCTCGTAAGTTTCTCACAGCCTTTCTGATTCGCAAGTTCAGCAGTGGTGCCTCGGTTCGCACCTGAGTAGAAACACAAAAAAGTTCTTGAGAACTTAAAAAAACTGGAGAGCAAATCAAAGCAAAACGAAGCCTTACCTGTGTTCCAACAAGGAGAATAACGTCCGCATTCTCCACTCCAGCAATAGTGCTGTTAAGAAGATACCTCGACCTCAAATCAGCTTGCGTATTCACGCTGTCACCCTCGCACCACAGGTTCTCGCATCCCAGTTTGTTGAAAAAATCCTTCATAGCAAGCATCGACTCGGCATCCGCCAGCTTTCCGGCAATAGCTGCCATCTCCTCCGGCTTGGTGTGCTTCAATGCCTCGGCAGCGGCCCTGAAAGCAAGCTGCCACAGAACGGGTTCCAAGTTCCCATTTTCACCACGCAGCATAGGCTCGTTGAGACGCTGGCGTTTTAAACCATCGTAACAGAACCGAGCCTTGTCCGATATCCATTCCTCATTCACATCCTGTCAATGTAGTAAGGTCAATAAAAAAGCATAGCTTTTGCTGGGGTTTACCTCATTAAGACGAGGAACTATACGCATAACTTCAGCACCACGGCTCTCAATTCGGATATTGCAGCCTATCGCGTCGCTCACGTCGATTGTCTCGGTCCCTTTGAGCTCCCAGTTCCTTGCAGTAAAGGCAAATGGTCTTGACGTAAGTGCTCCAACGGGGCACACGTCAATGACATTCCCCGAGAGCTCGCTTGTCATCAACCGCTCCACGTACGTTCCAATCTCCTCACTTCCACCGCGACCAAGAACTCCAAGGTCGGGAACGCCAGCAACTTCGTTTGAGAACCTGACGCACCTGTTGCACCAATACCAGTTTTCGAAACCGCTTCATAGATGAAAGGAGATGGTTACCTTGTGCAGTGAATGCAGCGGGTCATCACCGTTTTGACTAGAGGTCCCAAGTTTTTATCCACCACGGAGCGCTTCATGTCGGTGAAACGACCACGATCGGAACCAAAAACCATGGATTGATCCTGCAGGTCACACTCCCCTCCTTGATCGCAAATGGGGCAGTCGAGCGGGTGATTGAGGAGTAGAAACTCCATAACACCCTCCCGTGCTTTCTTCACCATTTGTGTCGTAGTCTTGATTTTCATCCCTTCAAACATGTAAGAGTTAAGAGTAGATCCTTTTTCTGAAAACAAAAAAGGTACCTGGTAGAGCTGGCATGGCGCACGACGCAACTGGCTTCGGAGTTTTCTCCACTTCCACGAGACACATCCGACAGTTCCCAGCGATGGAAAGGCGGGGGTGGTAACAAAACCTGGGAATCTCGATCCCAGCCGCCTCGCAAGCTTGAAGAACAGTCATACCTTTCTGGACTTGGATTGACAAACCGTCCACGGAGACTTCAATGGTATCTTCCGGCTTCGGCATCTCGACTCGCAAGCCTCGAGCCACAGCAGCAGCGGTCTGATGGACCTGGCGAAGTCTAAAGTTGCGACAAGCTGCGTCGACCATGGTATCATTGTCGGCATCTTGAAAAAATCCCAACTTCCGTCGCTGGTGCTTGAGCAATCGAAACAACAAAGAAGTCTGCCTCGCCATAGCTATAGCGAGTAAGTTGTGGAATAAAATAATTCTCTCCCTAGGCCCTGAAAGGGAAGAAGGCAAGGAGTAAGTAAACCCATCCCTTTCAAGGAAACTCTCGCAGCTCTCCCTCGGAAATCTCTAGCAAATCTGGAATAAAGATGCGTAGCGAGGCAACCGATTACACAAGAGAAACACTCAAATCTGACACAAATGGCGGGATCCAAGACCTAGGACGAATCAAACTCACGCCCTACTTCGAATCTCTTGGACGAGCTCTCGGCCGGGGGAATGGAATGCTTACCGCGAGCCAGTGGAAGCCGATATCAGCAGCGCCATCGTCCGCCCATCGCGAATCAGCGTAAGCCCCAAAATGGAGCTCCGCCACGTGTACGGCTGAGAACAAAAGGAGATCTATATAAACGAAATATGTACTCGTGATTCGAACCCGAGATCTATCTCTCTTTTCTTCCTTTAGGGTTTAGGCGCAAGTATTTTGGAAGCGATGCAGCAAGAACGATCGAGCGATGTCCGCGACGATCAGTGGGGCTATCCGGTGCGCACTAGCTCCGACCAGTGTATCAGCTATCTCAACAGCTACTACCAGCAGGTTTGGCGGAATCGAGTCTCTGCCTGGCATCGATTTTCTTCTTGTTTTTGATTGCTCTAGGTGCTGAGCTATGGATGGAATTGCAAGGTGATCCTCCAGGCTGCTGACAACGACGAGGATTGCGCCTTGGCAAATGCTCTGGCTGCGGGGCTTGCCGATCCCTCTGCTGCTCTGCGATATTCCGAGCGCTCCAAAAGAAATGCTGTCAGTATAACACTTCCTCTTCCTCTTTTCCTCTCAAGTTTTTTCATTCCAGGACAGAGCCACACAGTATGAGCGTTCGGTGATGGAAGCTCTAGACGCAATCGCTGAAGGTTCTTATGACAAGGCCCTTTCGTCCCAATCAAAGGTCAAAACCTTTACTTTTTCTTCTCGTGAATCGCTAAAGCTCTTTCTTTCACTGTTACAGGTGCTAGAAAATTTCCCCAAGGATTTAGCATCACTCAAACGTGCACAAGCTATGGCTTTCTCGAGGGGAAAGTCTCACTTGATGCTCAAATTTGCCTCTCAGGTAAGTTCACGGCCTTTTGTCTAAACGCATGTCTTCGTTCTTTCTAGAATCGCTCTCGATGCGCAGGTCTTGCACGTAAACAGGGATCGGGCATACATGTATGGAATGCTGGCGTTTTCTCTGGTCGAGAACGATAGAACTGACGAAGCGGAAGTTGCTGCAAGGAGAGCTCTGTCCATCGAGAAGCACGACGTTTGGGCCCAGCATGCGGTGCGCTCAATGCCGTGAAGGCACGGCTACCATCTGTTTTGCATTCTTGTCGTTAACACACAAACTTTTGCTGCAGTTGTGCCACGTCTTTCAGGAGCGCCAGCAATACAAGGACGCCATTATGTTCATGGAGAGCAACTCGGAATCTTGGGAGAGATGCGGCTCATTCCTGTAATGTTCGCCACCGTTGTGAACTTAGTGCTGTGATTACGAACTTACTCCTGGTTTCTGTTTTTTTCTTTTGCAGGTATAGTCATAACTGGTGGCATTTAGCGCTTTGTCATCTAGAGGGTGATGATAATGGGAATGCAGCCGGGAACGCGCTACGGATATTTGACACACGTATATGGGGAGACCGCGAAAGAGCTGAAAAGGATACATTTGCGGTAAGCTCTCTTTACAACTCTGGAAGAAAAATCCAACACAAAGTAAACAATACTGTACAGGTGAGCCTGAACGCGTTGGGACTTTTGCTGTCTCTTCAAGTGAAAGGATTTGGAGAGTACGTCGGCGAACGAGTGAGTCACATCGCGAAGCTCTTTGTGGACGAGGTACGTTGGCTGGCGGTCATCTTCAAACTTATACTTTCTGTGTTTAGTCAACATGGCACAAGGAGTGGCTACTTGATCTCCTGGTCCTTTGGTCACTGGCTCGAAGCTCTTTCATTGCAGAGGCCAGACAGTTACTGTCATCTCTGGATAAACGGTGAGAAATTTTTGTCAAAGTGATCGGACTCTGATTCTCACACATTCCCAGAGCACATATGATCGGTTCTACAGAGGAGATTCACCAAATGATAGTCTCGGTAATCAATGCTGATTTAGTTTGCGTTTCTGTGATAGTCTCGTTTAAGTTGCGGACGTTGTTTTCGACGTGTCAGCTTGCTTCAGCACTGTACGAGTATGGCTCCGGCAACGAAAGGGCGGTCTCTTCACTCTTGGGATCACAATTTAGTGCTCGGGAGCTCAAGGTTTGTCTGTGTATTTATTGTGCTTGAGTTACACATACTTTGTCTTTTCGGTGGCTCTCTCAGGTGATTGGAGCCTCGAATGAGCAGATGAGAGTGTTTGGGCACCTGTGGGCAACAGCAAGCGGTCTCATATCTGCTGGGATCAGGTAGTATGGAAAACTTTGTTATGTACAGGCTTGTTGTGTAATAATAGATTGCTCAACTCGAGCATACACAAACGTGTGAACCTTGGATCCAGCCTCCAGCTTGTTATTACGAAGTTACAGGAAAAAGATCTTAATAAAAGTTTAAACTAATTAGTATAACCTTAATAAGCATTGTCAATCAAGGTTGGATGAATTTGACAAGTGAGATGACCAAGTTTTGTGCTGAGAAGCAATTGAAGTATAACCACAAAGACTAGAAGAGAACAGACAGAACATCCAATCATAAGTTGACTTTTATGTTCATCACAATCCTATATATAGATTTATGTTCATCATAATTCTATATATAGACTAGCACTTGCCCAGCATATGCTGCCTAGTTAGCAAAATACTGTTTTGATTATTATAATTTTATTATATTAAAAATTAAATTTAGAATAGTATAAAAATAATAAATATTGTATTCCACTTTGAAAGAAGAATTGAGGGAATTATACCCAGCAAATGTTAGATGAACACAAAAATCAATTCTTGTAAACTTGATAATATAGATACTTAGAACAAAATATATTCCTAGGCATAAGTAAGAATAAATATTCATTAATAAAAATATTAGATACAAATTATTATTTAAAAATATGAATTTATTTAGAAAAATACCCGACCCAAAAAAAAGTAAACATGAATTTTCTATTATTAATAATATGTTATATGTAATATACATTTTTACATGGGATAAACTTATATTAAGATTTTATCAAACAAAAGAGAATAATTACTAAGAATAATTATTACTCATTTTTATTAGCAAGACATTACTTAATTATGCAGTTTACTTAGAATATTACTACCCAAATCCAGTCAAGAAAATAATTACTAACAAAATATTTTGTAAATATATATGCTATAGAAATTGTAATTCCATATTATTATGTACTAAGAAAACTATATTTACAGTCAGGAAAAAGATTTTAAAATATTACTGCTCAATCAAATACTGTATACATTATCTTATTTTTTCTGATAATGAGTTAGATTATTAAAAGACTACATATAAAAATATAATATGTACTTTTATTGTTGAATTTTTTTTTTTTTTTTGTATTAACACTTGAAGCTTTGATCATGATCTTACACATTGATAAAACTAAGTCAACCCATATTTGATATACCATCACTTAGTGTTGGGTTTCATATATTATAGTGATATTAAACATGCCATCTGAGTTTTCATATTATATTTACAAATACAGTTAAATTAAATTATAAAAGTTAATTTTGACCTTAAATATTCAAAGATTATAATAATTTATAAAACAGAATAAATTTAGGATTAAAAATAAAGCTGTTCACTTAAAAATAAATATTTACTCTCTTAGAATAACCTGTTAAACAAAATTCAAATCTCTGGCAATTTTGGATTTTGATTTGGTGATACCATCTATCTAAGACATACATAATTTATGTTATAACTTGTCATTGATTGTCAATGGCACTGTGCATTGCCATTTAGATAACCTAAAATCTTTTGATACCACACTTCCATCACCATAGCAAGAGACAGGATCTGCCACAATGAGAAGCATCTAAGCTGCTCCTCTGATGCTAGTGGCTGAGAAACTATATGCCAAGCAATTCTTCTGTTAAGTTTAGAGCATAAGAAAGTGAAAACTTTCAATGGGATTCTCCAGAGCAAAAACACCACAAAGTATCGCAAAAATCAAATCAGGAAGACACCACAAAGTATTGCAAAAATTAAATCAGGAAAGAACGAAAACAGCAAGAAAAGACACCAAGAGTTGAAACATGCCTCTTTGGTGCCTCGCCCAGCACTCACCTCTGGCCAGTGTCAAGTGCCTGGCACCTTTGTCAATGCCTCTACCTCGCACGCCCTAGCACTCTAATGCAGTCTCTGCTTAGCCAGCCCTCTCTCAGTGCCCTTTGCTTGCCCAGCCCTCTCTTCTGCCAGTGCCTTAGTGCCTTGCTGAGCACCCTAGTGCATTCCTAGCTTGGTGCCGCTCTCTCACACCAGCGCCTCACTCAGCGCTCCGCATTCTAGTCGAGCGGTGCGTCCGGATGCTGCGACACCTCACTCCACTGCCAGGAGGATGATCGATCCTGCTCCAGTCGCCAGATCTTCCTCATGGCCTTGGGCTGCTGCTGCTGCTCGAGCGATCTCGATGCCCAGACGACGCCCACGAGAAGGATCCAGCCCTTACAAGCCACCAGCTTGGGGAGATAGTCCTGGATCTGGGAGGGAATGCCAGAGGCCAACATGGCAATCTCGTGCTAGGAGTTTTGCTTGAGATCCAGCACCATGAGCTTGTCACTATCCAAGTAGCAGTAAAGCATGCCCTTGGCGCATAGTGATCCAAGTTCTCCATAATCTCCCCTCCAAAGAAGCATCCAGTGAGCCATTTCCCTTGCGGCACATAGAGGGTCGTGCCTCCCAGCTCGCCAAAGCTACCAATGTGATTGATTGCCTTCTGGAACGCCTTGGTGTTAAGTTTGATCCCATCGCTCACTCCCTCAAAATCAGCATTTTCTGCATTGGTGTTGCATCCTTGGATAGCCGGCCAGCAATCACCCAGCAGGAACACATCTGTCATGCTGCTTTCTTTGCTCGACGGTCAACACCTTGCATGCGCCACATGTCGCTCTGCCTTCCTCTCTCGCCCCATGCGGCTTGGCCGCCTCCCATTGGCCAGGGGCAAACATCAGTGCGATTATTCGCTAACACGTGGTTAAAAAAATAACCCCTTTACAGTTACCCCCCATCGGATGGCTGCGATTGGCTAGATCCGGCGGCCCAGAAAGTTTGGCAACTCCTCCTTATTGTGATAGATTATGAAGATTTCAAATGAGGATCACGACACTTTTATGTTGATCACAATCCTATATATAGATTATGAAGATTTCAAATGAGGATCTTGATCTTTGGCTTTTAGATGATAAAGTTTATATAAAAGCTTTTACAAATTAGACTTAGAAAAAACCAATTCTAGCTTGAGTTTTTTTAGCACTTCAAAGTGAAGTTGCAATTGCAGTTAAACAATCAAACTCAATTGATAGTAGCATTTATAGTGTATGATACAGCTCCTCTTGCTCTTGCTGCCAATCTTTGCGTTTGGCTTAAGTTTTTATGTGGGCATCTTGGAGATGATGTGTACCATTGATTTGATCACTTTACAATGATTGCAATATATTATTCTTGGGATGATGCATGGTGTTTATATGAATTTCCCATGTATTTCCAAGAAACGACATTGTAGTGGTATAATGGTTTAAGCGTAACTACTCGTACAGATTGGAGCATTCTCCTGAGTGTCTTCAAATGCGTATTTGGACATGCCAACGATTGTGATGATGCTTTTCAACAATTGCATCGTCTTCGTTAAGGGCTATTTGAGTCGGTGATGCAATTTAACATTTGTTTTTTAAGCCTCTTCCTTCATGTCAAGCTAAATATATCGGAGCGAATCAAGTTGGGAATGTTGTGGCCAGCACTTCGTCAAGATCTTGTAGGACTTGTGTATACACTTGCTCCAGCCACCCTTGATGATGTTCTTTGCTTGGCATAACATTATGAGATGTCATGTTTTTCATTTCTTACTGCACGTCCTTTAACTCCACTTGCTGTAGGAGATGCTCATGTTCTAATGGAAGTTGATGCTACTGCTACCTGAGTTTAAGGACAAGGGCGAGCACGTGGTTGTGTCCATGATGTTCATGTAAGTGACTAAATTTTCCATTCTACTTTAATCATTTAACCACACCTCCAACCACTTGGAGGAGTTTCACTCACAACCTCCGTAAATCCTATTTCGGACTTAGGGCTTGCTAGCCCCACAAATGGCATCCATGCCACTTAACCTTTGCACTTGGTCCAAGTGCTTCACGTGTCTAACACCCAAAAGTACCACTGACATATAAGCCTATTATGCTAAGACCATACTTATTCACTTTGTTACACTAGTGATCCAACACCACTTACATCACAGTCCCGTCTCTCAAATATTGGGTTATCCATCCATGAGTGATCATTTTAAATCCACTCTTTAGCATCTTTAGGATACCTGTAAACATGGGGAACATCCTTCCCCAATATCCCTTTTACAGTCCCCATTAAGTCCCTTTTCTATCCATGGCCGTGTTTACCAATACTGCCACTAGATCAAGGCTCATAGGCCCGACCACTAAGTCCCACTGTCCTCTAGGACTTCCTCACCATATGACTGTATTGTTGGTCATTACACCAGAGGACTAATCTTCTTCCTTTTCACAATCCAGGACTTTGGGATAACATTTTGAAACACTGTGGCCCTACGCAAGCCTTATGGGTATTCTCCCCACCTTCTGCCTTTGGGTGCCCCAGTTATGTGGCTAGAGCGAGGTTCTGATGAGCCATGCTAGGTATCCAAGTAGGTAGTGCCACCCATACTTGGATTGGGAGCATTGGCCATTTGATCTCTCAAAGGAACTAGAGTTAGCTTTTGAACACTTCACTAAACTACCCCGCTTGTCAATCCATATTCACTCTAGCTTTGGACTCTTCAATGGATATATCATCATCCAACACGTAGGCATAGCCTTCTTGGGTCACATTGGCATTTTCTGGCCAAACTGACTCCACTAGAGTCTAACCCCCACACTTTCCCTACTATACTTTTGGAACCCCCTATAGCCCCCCCCTCAGGGGACGATCGCTTTAGGCTTTCACCTAACAGCTTGTATTAGTATTCGGACTCAGACTCGGACTCGGACTCAGACTCAGACTCAGACTTGGTCTCAGTTCCATCCTAAACTCAATCTCAGACTCCATCTTGAGTCTATCTCGGATCCATCTCTGTAGCACACCTGAATTTGGAGCCAAACTCCAAGCCTGTTGCACTACGAACGAGGGTTTGGTACAATCCCACAAGTACCAACTCCCCGTATCCAACACCTGCATGCAAAATGGTGTTAGACGGAGTCTGGCACAATTTTGGCATACCGGTGGCCTAACGCAAGGAGGAAGGTACCCCATCGACTAGAGCAGTGTGGAGCTTGGGCTTAGACCTAAATCAGATGTAGAACAAGGAGCAA